GCAATTTAACTTCACAAAAGATGATAGATAATAGTGAACGGTCTTCCATCACTCTGACTAATCTCAGTGGGACATATGATGAACCAACTTACACAATACGCCCACCATCAACATTTAGTGAAAAGCTCGAAGATGTCTGATTCGAACGAAAATTGGCTGCTCTATCTTATGAAAGTGTTGAAGAAGGGTTTCCAAAAGTTGGGTTTTGATATGTCTCCTGGAAGCTGGTTTTTATTCCAAGAAAGCGTACAGATTAAAATATGAGAAGCAAATGATTAGATCTTGTACTATTTATGAATAAATTGTATACAGTTCTCTCATCTCCGATAAAAATCCTTGTTATAATCGTTCACCATCGATTAAATTATATCTACATTCAAAGCTTGGTGAAAGACGTTTTCAATATTTTGAGCTGTTTTAATAATGATTTCAGTTCTTCATAATTCACCATAGATGCATGATGGAGTCGAAATTCTTGAAGACGCGTCTATAATAAAGAGGAAAGAAATGTTATTAGTGATTGTTTCCCTCTCTCACTAATCGTTCTGATTAAACTAATAACTGAAAAACATTTAAAATATTTTTTTACATACTTCATTGGCTTTGGTCGAGTCTCTTGCAGAGTTCAACTATGCAAATCTTGCAGTTTTTTTACATTTTTACAGTAGGCTGAACTGTTGTGAATATGACGGTAAAAAAAAACTTTCTCTGTAACGTAAAGTACACCATACAAAACCTTTGTGTAGGTAGCTCCTTTATGTTTCGCCTACGGTAAATAATGTTTTTCGCTGACAGATTCTCAAAAGTTTATCTACACAAAACAGAGTGGATATAGAACACATATTCTAATGCTGTTTATTTTAAGACTTAATAAATTTCAACTCTTCTCAATGTGGGAAAACCCGTGACCATGGCCTCAAATACCCATACCTTTGGAAGCTCTAACCAACAGCTAATCCATCACTTAAGTAAACCCACAGGAAAAACTTTTCTAAAGTAGAAGAATATCTTTTCGTTTTTGAGTGGTTTATATCCTTACAAATACTCTCTGTGCATTTTTAAAATATCCATTTGAGATTTGAATGGGGCTCCGAGCTTTTCTACTTGTTAAGCGGGAGCAGTGGAGGTCAGCAAGACTAATGAATCGAATATCACTAACCGTATTTATCAATTTCGTTGATGGTAGTTCAAATCACTCTGTTTCCTCAGTCAGTACCGTTCGATTTCCAAACAGACTATGTCCCGTGAGTTCATCAATACATAAACGGAGAATTTTCCAACCATTCATTCTTGCAGATAAACTGCCTTATGCTTTTTATAGATGAATCACAACTTGCTGTATCTTTTAAAACGTATATCAGTCGTGATATAAACCACGAAATTTTGTGTTTTATATCCCGATCGGGATATTAATTTTTTTCTATATCCTGATCAGGATGTAGGAGGTGTCCCCTTACTCTTTTGGGGAAAAACTGATATCACTATTAGAAAGTGCTCGAAAAACTACATCGGATTCTGATTAAAATTGCATCAAGCACTCAGCAAATATTTTTTCGAACAAAAACCTTTAACAAATTTTAGTTGAATTTATATCCTGATCGGGATATAAGACACGAAATTTCGTCGTAAAACGATTAAAGGAAAAATGATGACGATATGGGGAATAATTGACCTCACCATTAAAAATAGCTCGAAAGACTACATCGAATTCTGTTGTGTTTGATCAAAGTGTATCACGCTGCCAGCAACTATTTTTTCGAATACAAATTTTTAACAAATTTTAGTTGAATTTATATCCCGATCGGGAAATAGGCGGTTAATCTTTTACTGTTCATAACGGGATGTACTCTTGATCAAAGCTTATAGAATATTCTTTCTTTATTCGCCTCTCTAACGGGGCTATAGGAGGTGTCCCCTTACTGTCTGGTATAGGAATTTGAACTCAATCACACTTTTGCTCTCGATTTGCCAAGTAAGTGAAAAAAAACGAAAGTGTACTCTTACTACTCCGTGAAGCAAAAATGAATTTTTGATTTCAGTAAGCAGACTAGTCGAAAGAATACCGCCACTACAAATTCATGAGTAGTGTAGAATTCAGGGCAAAAACACATAATCGTGCATCGTAAAACTAAATGATTTACGTCACTCGGTTTATTTCAACACTTGACGGCGTCTGATGGCGTGTTCGATCGATTACTTGCAATGAGAAACCAGTGAAAATTTCTTTTTGTCTTTCTTTTCTATATAATGACATTTACTCAAGTCAAAACGTTGTGCACTATCGGCTTACATCTCGTAAATAGACACCGATTTTCCAGCCGATTTTCCAGTCATTATGATTCTCACAATATGGAGTGCATGGGCTTATTGGAATCAAACCCGATGTCGTTTTCAAGGCCGTCGGTGAGGTGACAGTATCAAGAGCTGGAAGTGGTGCGTAAGCCATGAATGAAAGTTGAAATGATTGACTTCTCTTAACATTCTATTCACATACATCTTTGGGTCAATTTTCTGCTAATTTAGATGTGTTCTGTCCTTTTCTGCCGCTTATGATTATTTTTATTCTATCAATCAACGAGTATCAACAACACCTCAATACAGCGTCATCTATTCTTGCTCTGCTAAGATTGATAGACGCCGTAAGCCAATAATTTTTCTTTCCTGTTCTGTCATTATATTGAGTGAGGATGGTGTGTGTGTAATCTAGAGAAGCACTGAAAACGAACCACGCATAGATAAGAAAAGAAACAATATAAATGACAAACACGATCTGACGAAATTACAAAAATAATTTTGAAGTTATTGCGGTCAAAAACGCTATAAAAAGAACAGCAGTGTAAAAAGACATTCGAAGTTTGACATGACATCCGATATTACCGCGAGTACACCAACGGGAAACGGTCGTCGAATCCCATTACTTGGTACCGATTTGATTTTTGGCGGTATCGACAATGTTTTTGTTTATCCATCACTTGACATCAATCAATTAAAACAAGCTCTCTGTCAGACACTTTCACTATGGCCGATGCTCACCGGTCGACTTCTGATCGATGGCGATGACTATACGATTGAAATGTCCGATCAATCCATTCCATTTGTTTCAACTGAAAACGATCAGCTTGAATGTTGGCCAACTTTACCTGTCATTGTCAATGATGCTGCCGTTATACAACCGTTCATCGATTCAGTTGTATGTAAACCAGATGAACCTTTACTTCGTGTTAAAGTGACACATTTAATTCGAAGTAACGAATATGTTGTCGGTATCAGTTTTTTGTCATATGATCGGTGATGCTGCAGCCAATATCCATTTTCTAAGCGATTGGTCTCGACTTTATCAACATCTCGAACCGGAGTCGATTCGTCCAATATTTGAACGTGAACGAAATATGTGGAAAAAGGAAAACGATGAATTTCATCTATCACCATCAATGAAATTGATTCGTAATGGTGACAAACGTGAATCTATTCTAGCACGTCTTGTTCAAGAATATAGCGAAACCGAATCGATTAATATACCATTTTCATCCGCACAATTGGCAAAACTACAAAGTCTTGTGAATGAAAACAATTCGAAGACAATGTTGACCAGTCAAGATGCATTGAACGCTTACATCATTCGAACATTAAACAAACATATACTTAACAATGTCGATGATTATATTCGACGTGCGTATATTCTGATCAATTTTCGTGGTATATCCGATCGATTGGCACCAGCTGGTCGCGTAGCCAATTCGCTCATGCAAATGTTAACCGACGATTTTTCGGATCCATTATCATTGAAAGCGATTGCACAAGCCATTCGACAAACGATACAAGAAACACGTCATGAAAGCTTTTTAGAACAATGGTTACCGACAGCCGATCGGATGATGAACGAAATTACGAAAGAAGGTCGTGTTAATTTTGTTTGGGATAAAAATGAAGTTGTATTCAATTCGAATTTCAAATATGATTGGACAGATCGATTTGATTTGGGCATGAATAATCAATGTCGATTACATACGTTGGGCACATACAAAGCCTATTTTCGAATATTTCGATTGAATCCGGTTCGTAATGAAAATGGCGATTGGACAAAAGATATTGGCGGCGCCGAAGTGGCTTTTCGAATTCCAAAAGACTGGAAAAATAAATTTTTAGATGCTTGGAAAAAAGATGTCGAAGAAAATTTTGTGAATATAGAATAAATATTGATCGGAAAAGATTTCTATTACGAACAAAAATTAATCGATTATATACTCGACTAGTTTCTGATGTGAACTGCTAAGTTTATTTCTTGCTTTGACGTGCATTTGATTTGTTTGATTCATTTGCACAATAAATACGTTTGTATACTAAGTGAGAAACAACAGAATAAAGAAAAAATATATATTTTCTTTTTCAAGAAATAGACTGTTTTGTTCTCTTTTCTGTCTGTTTAAAGTAAATGTTCGTCAGATCGCAGGTTGATAAGAATAAATGAAATCTGTACACGCAAAAATGAGAAGAATAAAAACTACAAAAATGGAAACTAAAAGAAAATCATATACGGCATGACTGATGATACAACGTTGAAGATTTGACCTTGTGATGATGCACAAAACAAAAACGAAAAAAAAAATGACATGTATATGTCGAGCATAGCAAAACGTCTACTAGAAGTGGAATATTAGTTTTTAGACTTTGAAAATAAACAGAGAAAGTATTGTAAGCTTATTTTTTTTTGAATCGAAGACGTTCTTTTCACTGACTAAAAGTATCCAAGTCGTTGACCTATTATTATACAGTCTTCCGTCTATAGATTGTAAATGGAACTGCTCGATTCGATGATTATGTAAATAGATGGTAATCATTCTTTGTGGAGTATATCCAAATTACTCGATTCGTTACTAGAGCTGCCGACTACATTCATTTGAGAGTCAATGAGAGAAAGTTTCTCAAAACACCAATGAACATGTCGTGCGCACTGTTTGGAACTTTACGTCAAAGTTCTTATTCTTAGCGTCCTTAGAGACTCAGAGAACCGAAATTTCAGGTCTATAAGCTATAGACCATGCCTCCGGTGGGGCTTTGGTCTTATACTTCTAGAGAGTCGATATTAGGCTCCTAGTGAGTCACGAGTGAGTGAGTTCAACTAGGGAAAGCATAAATGAAGAGAAAAAAGGATTGACGCTTGTCATGAGAAAAATTTTAATCCAAGCGAATGCTCTCGAAAGTTTTAATGAATGAAAAAAGCAGTTAAAAAGTTTAAATGCCTACTTCATATGCCTTATAAAAAACGCAATGCATGCAAAGCCATTCGTCATTACCTTTCATCCATTCATATTCATTAAGCAAGGGACCCCATTTAGCTTTCCCTCTAAAACTCACAGTTTGTAGAGGATACTTCAAAGTATGTGCTCTGAAGTGTTTTCGGCTTACTGACATTATTTGGTTGAGAAAACAATTAATTACTTAAAAAATATTGTTAAATTTTTGAACAAGGGACTATTATTAAAAAAATTCCTGTGCATTGTCCAGTCGTCATAAAAATTTGGTTTTTTGCTTAGATCGATAGAGAAATATATGGAGAATATTTATTACGAGAAAATATCCAAAAATTTTGTTGTTTCCTTTCTGTTATTGACTAATTTGTACTAATTAACGTTAATTTAGCCTACTCTACTAGCTTAAAGTCTCATTTGTAAAATAACGACTCAAAGAAAAAATTTGAGCAATACCTTATCTGATAGAGAATTTCACGGGCTACAAGATGGACTACCTTAAAAGAAGAAGAAAGTTTTCTTTTAGAATTCAGTTTTGGCCGCTCGGTAAGTCTGATAAGTCGAAAATTTAACAATATATTTTTCAGTAATTAACTGTTTCTCAGCCAAATAATGTCAGTAAGCTGAAAACACTTCAAAAGATATACTTCGAAGTGTCCTACAAATTGGTGAAGTATGAGAGTCAAATGCAATACTTCAAAATTTTGCTTATTTTCGGCTGGAAATAGATTTTTCAAAATACCTTGAATCAAAGTTCGCTCGAAGAAAGCAGGTTCAAGGAAATGTGTGGGTACAAAAGTTGTTTAGAATCAGATTCCCTGGAATATGAAAGAAGGATTTTTCAAAATTCGTTAAATTCTATTTTTAAATTGAAAAATACGGTTTCTAAAATTATAAAATTTAGTTTAAAAATCGAGTTTAACGAATTCACAAAAGTGTAAGAGTTATTGCAATTGAGTAAACAAGACATGGAAACAAAAAAGAAAAGTAAAAACATGCACAAATAAAAATTTTGATTAGTATTTAATTAATTAATAATATTCATCATTTTCATTCCACTTGACTGCAAGAAAGTATTTTCTAATTAAACAAAACAAAGATAAAGATATTTGGTTAGTAGTTGAGTATATCAATGTTCAAACATACATTGATATTCTTTAAAAGAATATTGTCTCCAAAACATAAAAAGAAAAATTAAATAGCATTTATTTTTACTATTTGGCGATAATACTTTTATTGTTTTTTAATTTAAAAGAAAGAGAAAAGAATTACAATGAATAAAAATATGTGAAAGAAGAGACTCGACAGTTATCATGTAGCACAATGTTTTTAGATAATAATGTGGCAGTTATTTGAAAAAGAGACAAACTTAAAGTGACATTAAAGCGTTGTTTGAGATTGATTGAGCAGTTTGACAGAGGTCAATAAAATTTAAAAAAGTGTGATATTATATTTGTGCTTTTAACTCATATCATCAGCATTCGGATAATCATTGTTGATTAGAATTAGCTAAAATATGAATATATGAAGAAAGCTATCTTTTCTTTCGCACATTCTTACTTGACATTATATTATTCTTCATTCTCCATAATCATTAAGAGAGAAGAGTGGTGGCAAAGATGGAAGTTTTCCAAAATCTTTGAAATCTTTTAAATAGTTGGCATGTACTGCTGATCTTTCGGAAATTGTTGATGACAACGTCGATGAAGTCAAAGAACATGCAGGTGTTACGTGTTGATTAAGATCGTGAGTAGACGATAACGGTCTATAATCAGTTGTTAATAAGTTTTTATTACTTAAACTGCGCTGTTGAGATGTGTTAATTGCGTCGATATGGTTTGTTGTACAATTATCGTCAGTGTTGTCTCATTGTAATCGTTCTGTATTTCTGAACTGAAACGTTCTGTCATATGCTGATGAATCATTAGGGTAGAACGAATTTTCACTGAATAATTGATCATAAGGATAATCACTACATTTGTTTGTTAGACTGTTTGCTTCTACTGTATGTTCAGTATTGACATTTGAACATTGAGCGAAGTGGCTCTTGATATCTACACTTTGTAGAGAATGTCGAGGGCTATCCAATGGTACGTTTTTTGTGAAAATCCTCGTATCGACCAAGTATTTCGACGATTGACCTATGAGGGCATATTTTTGAAGGACTTATTTATAGCTCGTTCTGTAGCCCGTGGAATTCACTATCGAATGACATATAAAGTAGAGTGGTTTATACCCTTTTTATTTCATGTCTAAGGTCAAAGCCGTTTTCAAACGGTTCTGAAAAATGATGATGGTATGTGCACCGATAAAAAATTTTTGGCGGCGGCGAATGAAACTTTTACCATGAGCGGCGGCGCTGTATCTGTACGTTGCCGTATACGAAAAGATAGAAACGCGCTGCACGCTAGATGCCTAAGATAAGAACGCACTAACAAAAATAGTCAAAATTTTCTCCGCCCGCGGCGGCGACAAAAGTTTAACGACATGGCGGCGGCGGAAGTCAGAACAGTTTTTCTCCGCTGTCAGCGGCGGCAAATCGGCGAACCGGCGCGGCGGTGCACATCTCTGGGTATGTGGCCTAGAATGAGGATGGAAAGGCTCGGTAAACTTTTATACTGGTGGTGTTCAATTTATTCGTCATCCTGAATTATATGTTAGTCTAGGTTTGTTAAAGCCAACTACTCATTTACGTGACATGTGATGTGACTGATCTCTATACAATGTTACTACAAGAAGACCCATTGATAAAATAAATAAAACGTTAGAAGATGCTAATGATCATCATTCAAATATTAAATTAACGTCTACAATTAATAATCCTATTCCATTTCTGGATGTTAATATAAAAAAATATTTGTAATAATTTGATTACTACTGTCTATCATAAAGATGCCGGTGAACCATATGTTGTACCATTTCAATGTTCATCCACGACATGTCTTTGTCAATATTCTTGATTGTGCACTTCTTCATGCTATACGTTATTCATCAATATTACAAGAATTTAATCATGAACGACGTGCAATTAAATTAATGGTATTTTATAATAATACTTACTTTATAAAATAGGGATAGATGATCCCTATTTTTCATTTTCAAACTAATCTAAATATTTTTTTGTCTTTTGTAGTTATCCTACAAGATATATTTATAGTCGATTTAGTAAATTTTTTGTTAAATATTCTATTGCATCGACATCAATTATACCTATGATACATGATGAAAATGAATTTTTATTTTTACGTCATCAATAATTAGATCAAGCTACTATTAATGAACGTAGACGAGCAGAACGCATTGCCAAAACAATGGATTATAATAACTTTTAACTTAATATCGATCCATTAGTGAAAGCAAAATTATTAAAAAGACGAGAAAAAGCCAATTCTATTATACTTCATTTTTTTACACACGAAAAACGTTTTTCACATTATAAACAAGCAATTCATCAGATATGGAATGATACATTTCATAATACATCAATTCAAGCGATAAAACTTACTGTTGGTAGTCGAAACAATCCAAATCTTTGCGAAGAACTTGTCTGTCGAAATCCATTTATCGAAAATTGAAACAAAAACCGCACAGCGCCACCCACCAACTGATTCCATTTTTTCTGTAAATTGATTTCTTGCTATATCCTTCTCTATCTCTATTACTATTGTACATACACTTCTATATTACTTCAACACTGAGGTAAAAGACATGTATTCTTCGTTTTCATTAAACAATAAAATCAGATTATCGTTTCTTTTCCTTTACACTTCGACATATTCAAGGACTTTCATTTTATTCTAGATAACTACGATAGTGCTCGAGACCAAATCATGTCGTCAACCACTTAAACAATTTGATAATCAATCAAAGATAAGAAATTTAACTTATAGAATATTCTGCTCATTCTAAAACATAATTTTGATTTACCACTGACAAAAATCTGG